AATTAACTTACATAAGACGAAAGATAGTACGGTGTCTCAGATACATATCTATGCGTTCGATAGTAGGTACGTGGAGCTGAAGCTGGCACTCCGATATCCGAGGTGTAGAAAATTGGACGATAGGTGCTCGTGACAGTGGGTGGTGGAACCGATCGTAGACGAGTCGAGTGCAATGGCGTGCGTCGGCTCACTGCAGTATGGATAACACGTGGAAATGGTTCTTCCTGTAACAAGGAGCAAAAAGTGCGAAAAAAATGCGCACGAGTTAGTCAATATTGATGGTAACTTACACTTCCGGACGCTGCTCCTAATTAAGCAGTGTTAGGTGCATTGAACTGCTGCCAACATATGCAGTGTACTATATTTAAAAGTGGTTTGTTCCAACCAATGAAAAAGTTGTTGTATCATGCAGCCACGATTTTATTCCGCCGGTAATGTATGTGCAAACTGAATCCGAAGACAAATACCATCAAATGATCCTCTCTTGCCTTCAATGCCTCAACGAAATTTGATAAAATTTTCACTTCACTACTACCATGTTCTTAGTAGGTGGAAGCAGTTCAAATGAAATATTTGCAATGTCAAGCTAACCTGATTTATAATATCTCGTTTTTGATTTTCTTACCTATGGTGAGAATGAAAACAAGCTGTATATCAATCAAAGATACAATTATTTGAGGGAAATCAAAGAATTCTCCGGCGATCAAACATTCGAACCCTTTTTGACGAAAAAGTAGTTTATGATCATTAGAATCCACAGCAGCACCGTTGATTATGCGCTCGCTACCTCACCTCTGGTAGAGCAATTACTCGAATGGGGCTAATCAGTGAAAAATGCGCTCTTTTTTGATAAATATACACATCGTCGTAAGTTGAGTGGATATAACTTAGGAGTTAAAAATGGTCAGAATTATCTCAAGTCAAATTCTTTTTAAAGCTTGAATAGATAAGCAAACCTTGGACACATCAAAATCAAATAATCAACGCTGTTGCCTGAAGATTGTCATGGAAAAATCTGGAAAGTCATCATATGTCATTCTATGCTCATAAACACCAAATGCTATTAATTCAGATCAGATATTATCATTTTTCATTGTTTATAATATGAGGGATATCCTTCAGGTGAATCGCAGGTATCTGAATTCATCAATTCTTCTGTAAAATCTGTGCATAGGAATGAAGCTCGGTATCACTGTTTTGACATAATAGAACATCAAGCTCGAGGTTCTAAACTAAAGCAAAAAATAATATAATTTTAATATTCTTCTTAGAAGATCCTGTTATTAAAGTAGCTGAACCGAAGATTCCTAATTACTCGGTAAATTTAAACTCCGTATAATTTAAACGATGCTCAACACTGAATGGGGGAAAACCAGCACGGATTCTGGTCTAAGTTCATTCAATGATTTCCTGGTTGTGCATTATGTTTAGAAACTAGACATTCGAATCAATTGTGCTTTTATTCAAAGAGACAAGTGCATGTTCCCACCGAATGTTTGTGTCAATAGTTTACAGGGATTGGTATCATGCAATATAAAAACCATAGAATGATTTTCACACGCAATTGTTGGTCATGCGAAAAGAGGAGGAAATACACGCCTATGTGCATGGAATAGCAGTGACAATAACCTCCGAGAAACGAAATGCTTCACCATAATTTTGTAATGGCATGCATATCTTTTTTATATTACATAATCTTTTATCTCAATATCTTTTTGAGTGCATCCCGCATTACACCTTTTTCCTTGTTTTAAGTTTGGCTATTAATAAATGTTTTGACCGTTGTATAGATAACTGTTTCACTCAGTGGCACACATTTTGATGAGATCAAGCCAGTTATCGTCAAAACAAGACGCATAAACCTAATTACTTGAACCAGTTTGGTTGCTCAAATTATTAGCTTTATTTCGCAACTGACTTATGAAAGAACGTAAAACGACGTTGGTTTGGGTAATTTTTAGACTACTTATATGAAAACAGCAAACTGTTTGACACACATGCGTCGGCTTGAAAGTAAGCCTCACTCTGGAGAAGGGGTTATCAACCCCTTTGAAAAACACCAGCTTTAGATAAAAGGATATAAAACTATGCTCACCAATAAATTCGAATCCCGGAGTTCTAGTTATAACACTGTTTTGCACAAAATACTTGTTTGAAGCATTTACCTTCCCGTGGTTTATTCCCTTATCACTATTTGTGAATATACACAATGAATGAGATAGTACAATGTCAGCAAGCATGAACAATACCTTAGTTTGTTCTTAAAACGAAGCTCGCAACACCCGTACATAAAAGCCCATGCTCCGTTGCTTACGCCACCATGATGAGGATGAATGTGCAACCAATTGATGACAAAATAAATTGTGTGTGTGTATGGAAAAACGAGATGTTCAAAAACACTATTGATTCCGCGCACGCACATAAATGAGAACACGATTCGGTGAGATTAAGTCTACTAGACGTGCGTCTGTTTGCACCCCGGATGCACATCATCATCATCACACTTTTGAACAGAAGGGGGAATGGAATGGGTTCACATATTGAACAACTCAATTTTGCAGTCATCCGACCAGGCCGATTTTCAAGGGGATGCTCTGATGCACTAAGACAGAGGCTGCAGTGAGTGCACTTGTTTTGGGAAACATATGGCTATGTGGATTGGACTTACAAGTTCATCATACAAGTCGAGCATAGAGTACGCACGACGTGGAACATACGAGAGATACTCTTGCGCTCCCTGATAACCGCGCCGCGTGGTCGGATACAATAAAACCCATCCAACGGGAGAAGAGAGTTACACAAGACAGATTAGTTTCGAATCAACACGTTTATATATGAAAACAAACTGGATATACAATGATAGTTGTCTACAATTGAAATCTATACAATCTATGGAATAATATTGTCCGTAGGATGCACCGGCTTCGAATAAGCGTTCCGATGTGTCGTAAAAGGGTTGTTTTGTTTCGTATCGGTTCCATTTCAACCGTTAAAATAAACAATGATACGTTCGGAGAATTTTGTTTTCCCTACAGGCTATGTGCTTTGCTTCTCTCCTTCCCACACACTCTAATATGGAGAGACGCAAGGTAGCTTGTTGGTGTGTGTTTCTCCGTTTCATTGATTTTCATCTGATGACCTATGATCCAGCTCATCGTTCACATGTCTGTAAATGTGGATGAAAGCAGCGCTCGTTCCAGGAATCCTGGTGAATCATCCATGTAGCAAATACACTTAGACCAAATTATGTTTAGATGACTACCACAACGGGCATGTTTGCCCGACAACAACTGCAGCCTACCAATGATGCATTCCGATGTATAAGCAGGTTACCGTTTAATGTAAACAGACCATTCCCACAGAACCTGGCTTACACGCTGTCACAATTCAATGTTTATCTAGACCCGTTCTGAACTCTCAGCTTTGATCTACTTTTAAACACTGGTTTCGTGCTTCGATTGGTTCTATCACTCTTTGCGATTACAGTACAGGAGCACACCATTTCTAACCTAGGCTTGTTCTATAACTCAACCTTACTAGATCAAAACTATTCAAGTATGTCGTGCACATTCAACCTGAAAATTAGGAGCTTTCTCACTGCTTCCCTACCGTACGTCACATCGATCATGATACGCATCTATCCTAGCGTTCACTGACAAAACAGTTTCACAACTACCAAGCTTATTTTATAAAGGATTACAATTTTGCATGACTGATATTCTCAGAAAATAGTTCATGCATGTCTGTACGTAATTGTATGTACCGGAGAGAAAATGTGCTGTTTCGGCGGGGAGTGTGCCCGCAACGAGGAGGTAGGCAACGCCTGCTCCGGATTTGCCACAATCTGGTCATACCAGAAACGACTGCGCCAATCCCGATGCGTGTCATACACATTGGATCCCTGAGAGACCCAATCTGCTCGAGGTGGATAGTAAGAGACACGTGTGACTGGTGCCGAATAGACGGATTTTCCGACCATCATCACAGAAGGAGCATACTGTCGAACAATTCGGGGTCGTCGGTAAATGGTCGGATAGTCCGTGGTGGGAGGAGCTGGCCACGTGTAATGCAATTCCGTGGGTGGACCGCATTGGATTCGAGTTGTGGTCAGACTGCGACGGCGTCGAATCGGACTGTGCATGTTTTCGAAGACTGATGTACTTCGCTGTGAAGAAAAATAATATGTATGAGGTAAATGAATTTTAAAGTGTTTCCGTCACTGTAAAGCTTAGGTTGGAAACCAGTATTAGACAGAAGTTGTGTGTCTGTCCCGCAGTGCTTCAGATCACGATAAGATAGCTTAGAATCGTTTATTTTATCGATTCTAACCATTTCAGTGTGACCTGAGTGCATGATGGTTTGAGGGTTTTGTGTAAAATCAGATTGTGAATCAGATGTTTTTTAGTAGAATTTCTTCTTTCTTTTAGAAGGAAAGTAATCCTATGTAATTGACATACCGATTTATGCTTATTTTCAAATTAAAACTTGTTGAATTACATGCACTTCCGTTAGGGAATTTCATGGCTTCTGTTCACACGGATACCAGGCATAGTGTGTTTTTTTCTTATCTGTGTGCCTACTGTCCATTCCTCGAGAGTTCATTTATTCACCACATGTCAAATATGTTTTTATTTGCAGTACAGATTGTGTGTGTATTAAGATTGGCCACGTGCCCTTCAATTGATAACTGTTTTCACGTTGTTTGGACTAGTCGGAAATATGTTGGCTGTGGATCAGGAGTAGATCAGGAATAAGGATTTCAACCCACACCCTATTCAGAAGGACTGCCATCCCGGGAAGGACACCGAAATTATACACACAGCAGAAGAGTACCTGCAAGTCTGAACCAGCTGTTCCACTGTTGGTTGTCGATGATTGCAAAATAAATTCCTACTTTTTAAAGTGTATATGTAAGTAAACTCAAAAAATCCACCGAAAAATGGGGTTGACTGATGTTTTGATCAATGCCTTGTGTTTTTTTATTTAAGTACTTTCAGTCAGTAATTGTTGTTATTAGGAAAAACAATATACCACAAAAATATTCTGATATATAGAGAGGTTTTTTTGAATTTCTCCAGAAGCTTTTCAGTGACATTTTGTGAAAGCATTTTGCACCATTCTTAGTGCATCGCAGTGCACCACGGTCGATTTTTGTTTACCGCATTTCCATCCGTCTCCCAAACCTGTTGGAAATTTGTTTGTTGGTTTCCACGGCTGCGAACCGAATTTAAACCCATGTTCAACTGGCTAGTCACATGTCAGCTGTTGGCTTCTGGCGTTTGGACGATTGCAGTTCAGCCGGGCATGTACTTTTAACTCGTAATGCATAAGAATCCCTGGGTCAGGAAACCGGAGTAACCAAATAAATGCATTTGATTTCAAATTGCTTCAGTCTTTCGGCTCCATTCGGTCAGTGATATACAAATACATACAAAAAAGGATTTGTATAATTATCTAGGGATTTCCTTTTCTATTGTGAAATAACGTTTCGGGTATTATTTCTAGACGAAACAGAGAGGGAGACTCAGGATATGGGCTTCCTGTACCGATAGTGGATGAATGTGGGTCAAACGGATCTGTTGTTTAGTTGGAGAACAAACCCCCAACGGCCATAACAGAACGTTACTTTATAACATCACTGGAAAAGCTTTTTAATGTTGGTTGAGTTAAACTCCACTGAGTCGAATCAAGTTGCGGATTGTTTTACGTTTTGGTACACGGAAGGACAAAAGTACTTCCAGTGACATCTCATTTTCCCGACTTCGGCCGTATCTTGGTGTTTTTGGGGGCTAAGCAGAAAGTATTGATTCACCTGGTTCGTTTGAAGGTTACCATTCACTACATTTCCTCAACACATGACGCAGGTCACAAGCCACACACTGTTCACCCTGAACACACCATCTGATGATCTCCCGAATGCAACATGCATCCTGACCCTATCTAATGTGACCTCACCTTGCCTCCCTAACAGCCCCGTGATCTCGTATGGGGCACACACACACTGATGTGCACGTGCTCGGGTTCCGGTGATTGACCTTAAATGGTGAAATATGACACACCAAATCAATCACATGGGCGCACTTTTCCCCAACAAACTACTATTATTGTTTGCCTCTTCAGAGCTACCCGTATCCCGTCCAAAGGAATGTGGTAACCGTGAGACGGACATGTGCACTTTACCGACTGGTTGGAAGTAAACCCTTCTTTTTCTGTACACGCTTGTATCAAAAAATTACTAGAACAATTACATTGTTCGTTGTTGGAGGGCTCGTAGCCAGCCGAAACCCAAATGTTATACCTTCAAGGCTTAGAATAAAGATCTACCATTGATGTAGTTACTTTCAACTGCTATACATGCTTCAGTAACGGTAGGTAGACACTGTGGGGACAATTACGGCCATGTTGTACACAAACCCCGGTTTCAAACCGAATTTGCAAAATACAGGCAGTGAAAATGGACTATCGATGGTTTTCGGTGTGGATTTTACTCCGCGGGAGATCGTTCATTCCCCACTTCCTGAATGCATCTATAAACGGCACAAAAATTATTCATTCCTGACGAGTTCCAAATAGGACGAAACAGCCATCCAATGTTTTGTCACCACAGATACTTCCAGCGCTGTTATTTTTGTTTTTATTCTATAAATTCGGCTATTCAACGACGCGGTAAATAAATACAATGTGAAGCTGCGCTTAATAGCTGATGCTCACTGTGTGGGATATATCCATCAGGTTGTATAAGATTTCAACGCAAAGTCTCAAGCACGTACACGGCAATTTGGATTATCAGGAACATGAATCGTTCCATTAACAATGTTCAGATATTATGTGGCAATCACCAAATGTTCGACGTGATATGAGACTCACGACCCGTTTCACACACGAGCCAATTCATCGCACATAAACACTATTCCACGAAACAAAAATTCGACGGATTACGTAAAGCTTCCACTGTGAGCTACAACGCAGATTGTCAAACGTCTACGTTATCGATTCGAAAAATGTATCAGAGAAAATACGTTCCGCTTACTAATTTATACACTATATTAGATAATTACCTGACCAGAAGAAGATCACTGAGCGCTAGTGTGTTTGTTATCAATTATAGTTGCTACTTGCCTGGAAAAATGAGACATCTAATACCGGACCGAAAAACCATGCAAATTTTATTGAACACGTTGAGGAATCTCGAATCATTCAATGGTTAGGTTGTTGTCAAAAGTTCTTTTTCGTGTCCCCCTTGGAATGCTCCGATGTATCCAGCCAAACTTATGAGACCATCGTTAAAACGATCAAAATCTAACTGCTAAGTCGTGTGATACGTAAAATTCCTGACAGGAAGACCAGAAAAATCAGTACACCAAAAGTTCGATTTGGAGAGTTTTTACAGCGATCAAATGTTTCTACATTTCTGATGCCGGAAACATGTGTTGCCGTAAATCAGGTGAATGCTACACACACAGATGTGGGAGACATTACGCCAGGTGAAAACAAAAGTGTCGGTGAATGTCAGTTTGCTCCGTGCATAACACTGTACGGCCGGAATCGGACCCGAACAGATTCCCTTTTAGTAGCGGTATGTAGACCAGCTGGTTCCTGCTTTGCACAAAGTACACACTCAAATGGTGTGTGTGTGTGTGTGTGTGTGTGTGTGTGTGTGTGTGTGTGTGAATTCAGTCAGAATCGGAATCGAGCCTGGGGGATGAGTGCCAAATACGTGGACAACACTTCTGGTGGATATGGAAACACCTACACCGAACATTGCGTTCCTTCTCTTTTTGCTTGTTTCCAAGTGGGTGTTTTTAAAGTACTACTGAAGTGATGTTTTCATCAAACACCGGAAAGTGAAATCTTGGAGAAAGTGAACAAACCGGGAGTATTTTCACGAGCACTCATCAGCATACAAACGGGTGTATTTGTAAGGGTAACAATCAGTTAAAAAATCACACAATATTCCTATCTTCACGCATTCAACATTTATAACCCAGTGCGATTTGTGAGGTTTATTGAAGATAAATTGGTTAGTAAAATAGCAGGGAGTCATTTATTTCCAATATTGTTGTTTTGTTAATGGTGACTGACCCGTATAATGGTTACTTTAATCTAGAATGGTGCAACAGTTAACGTGTCCTCCAACTTTACGATTTCAACGTATGCCCAAAAATTTGAGGTTTTGCTTAAATGAGATGAAACTTCCCACCAATCACAAGGCCCTTTGCAATTAAACCCGATCTTCCTCGTAAGTTGTTGGCGAGCAACGAGAGAAGATAAATGTATTGTTGGGGGTCTCCATTTCGAGGTTGCACTACGCCATAGATTCAGTCAGTCACTGAAAACTGACACACACAAACACACAAAATGTTAAATGATCGAATTTATCAGAGAGATGTGTGTGTGTTCTCTGAAGCAATTTCCTGAAATAGAACAATCGCCGAGAGTAGTTGTGACCTTGTATTGCCCAAAGAACTAGGGACCACCAGTTCCATGTTTGAACGACTCAAATCTGTCCAAATCTCACTCGAACGTATTAATCAGCTTTGTAAATGTTTGGTGCGTTCCGGAAACCCCTTAGATTTGTTGATTTTACACGGAAACTAGAACTACAGTTGTTAAAGAAAATCTAAAGACTGTTGGCTAAGTTTGCTCAAAATTCCTGCTTCGTGGAAATCCACTTCAACTATGTGCATCGTTTAGGGCTTTTAATCCCGTATTGGGCCCTTTGCACCTGTCCTCCTGAATAAATGGACCGTCCGATTGTTTCCATATAGGAACTACTACGAGATGCTCGCAGTGAAGAAACAATTGTCACAGCAAGGACAGAATATAAAGCTTCTTCAAAGGAAAATGAATTAGCGATCTAGTTCGAACATAACTACCCAAAGGTACTTGGCGGCCGTAGTGCAAACGTACGTGACCGACAGGGACCAAAAGTCAAAAACACAAACCGGCTTTCTCATCCAAAGCAATGGTCACTCATTCAATCATTTGCCGAAAATTTCCGTGTTAAATGATTCGATCATCACAGAGTAAGGTAACACGTACTTGCGTAACGGAAACGTGACAAATGGTCTTTCTGTCGTGTATCCAGGTAGAAGTGTGAAGCGTTTATTTATTTAGAAGAAAATCAAGAGCAATTTCAGTTCAGATATGTTCTCTTTCGACACATCGCACTTACATATCGTGGAGTAGTCTCACTAATTCAATTAGAACACCCCATGTGGATAATCATGTGTTTGCCAGATTATTTCATTCCAAAACCAGTATGCTCACATCTACTGGACAAGATACAGCAGATGACGAATGAATTGTATTTTCTATTGTTGATATTTCTATAAAAGAGCTGATAGTTTGAAATTTCTTTGTTTTTTTTAATACTACAACTACACGAATCCTCGGTTCCAATGTAGATACGTATTTTAGTCAGGAAGGTGTTTCCTGGTCTGACAGTTAATAGATTAGTAGCTCGCTATTTGAGCATTCATTGTATGGTTATTCAAAAGTATCAATTACATAATCTCTATGGTCGGGTTAATGGAGTGTATAGAGAAAAACAGTGAAACTGCGTACATTCTTTTGAGAATCGTCTATGTAATCCATGGACATCATTAAAAAAACCGAATTTAGACTACGGCCATGGGAGATGACGTTAAATGGAATCACAGTATCATGCAACTGAGGTGAGAAACAACTCTTGTTGGTGATGATTGACCACCTCCCCGGTGTGTGAGATTATACGACAGCTACAAATTTTGACAAATTGGCAAGAGACGCTAAGCAAATTAGTTTAAGCAAATTCAATTAAGGCTGCTAAAAAAACTAGAGATTTGCTCCTATAGAACAAGAAGGTCTTAAAACGGCAAAATTTGCGTTCCCCACTGTGAGTGCTCTTGATATATGTAGCTGAAGTTAAGTCCACACCTGGTATATATTGAGGTAACCACGAACACTTCAACACGGAATACGTTTGGGAGATATTTTTCTGAGAATTTAATGAAAAATAATGAAAAGATTAGTAACTTTCCAAAAATAAGAAAGAAAGTCTTAGGGCAACTTCAACTTTTCCCGTTCGTTTGCCATCAGCATGCGTTTTTAAGACATGTTGGCTCTCAGTACCAATCAACGGATTGACTCAAGTGAAGTGACATTAAGAAGTAATACTATTTATTTATTATTTCTTTTTTCTGTCTTCGTGATACGGCAATCGTAATCGGACATAATTATTTTATTCTTGAGCTGCCGTGACCATAGATTTCTTGTCTGTTTGTTGGTTTTCACTTACAAGCCTATTCATCCACATGTATTGAAATCTTATTCTCTCTTCAACAAAGTGACCTTGGCCACTCTTGATTATTGTCGACCTTCCAAATCGGTGTACTGGGGACAAGACAACGCTCACGATTAAATCACTCCAACATCCTAGCGTTCTATTTAGCAAGATCGTGGGTAATTTCTGCATTTTACCATAAATTTTCAAAAGAGTGCATACTAATCTTTTAACAAGTTTCCTTGATCAGTCCTCCATTAGATTCGTGCACTCTATAATCTCCAATCGCATTCAAGGTATTGCTGCTAGTCAGTAGTATCCCCGTGTCTTCGATCAAAACATTGTGAGCTATAATGTCGTTAAGCACACGCTGCAAACCAGTGTAAAAAAGACTTCCGGTTCCGATTCGCTAAGTTGGATTATTGCTCACAGAACTCATCCACGTGAAACCTCTTGTTCAAACTCACTGATCCATTCCATGAAAACCTAAACTGATTCGGGCCTACATCTGACACCGCAATTTGTTACGAACTCTTAACCCCTCACACAAGAACACATTGGCTGCCGGTGATCCCGTATCTCGGTAGATTTTCCAAGTATTTCTTTACTATGAAGAGAAATTTACATAGGGTCGTGGCTGTAAAATCAGCGTTTATCTTCTTGTCCTAATTAGTCGTACTCCCTAACATCACATAATGCTTCCTATATGCATATTTGTTCCGGAATCTAATGATAAGGTATTTTAATGATCATATTAACTGAAGCGCATTCACATAAATGAATACGGGCAACTTGGCTTGATCATCAGCTCATATGCCTGTTTCAATTCATATTTTTTGATGAGTATCAGTAGTATTGTGAATTCCATTAAAGATTTAACTCTGCACGTAACACAGACGTTGTGTCTGCAATCTGTCGCGCATTGCGTCGCGAATATGTTCACATAAATTTCTAAACAGCTCTGCTTATCATCAACAGACCAAATGTGAAATTTGTTTTTTGTCGGCCGATAAAAAGGGAGGTTTCCAATCGGATCCCGCACACACGCACTGGCTCTACCCGATCTCGTCTGTTTGGACGCTTTCTGAATGCGTTCGGCACCCGAAGGGGACACTCAGTCGAGATCCGGTATAGGTTTGAGAATGGAAGCATACCTTCCACATTCCTGATTAGTTAACATTTGTCAGATTTGTTGGACAGAAATTAAAAAGCACAGCAAAACGCCATTCACTCCTATGAATTGGTGTTTGTTGATATGGTTGTAGAGTAATCTGTATGTATGCATGCATATTTATCCGCATTTTCGCCCCTCCCAGCCCAATCTCCTTCTTCCCGTTCACCTGTGTCTCTCATATGCACTGTATAGAGTGCAACCAAAAGCTCATTTTCTCCATCTTCTCCCCATCCCACCCCAATCAACCGAGTGAATCGGATAACCAAAAACTTGTCCCCATTTGAAGATTTTGTTTAGATGACCGATGGACTCGGAAAGCGGATTGCGTAATGGGACAATTTTCAAATGATATTCAATTCCCATTTGTTTATACGACTCTACGGTGTAGGAAAACAAGAAACTAGTTAGAGACACATCAATTTTTAGAGGGCTAAAAACAAATCATTGCACTCACAAACTAACTCAAAACCATTGAGATGTATAATTCCTTATAATCGGATATCTTTTCCACAAAGACGTTCAGTTGAATCCAGATCATACAAACATTAACCATGCTCATTCGGGTGGCAGTTCAGAAAGCTTTCTTTTGGCTCCGTACTTGGATAAGGGTTTGGAAGGAAGAATAAAATGCTGGAAATATCGATTGGAAGATAGATTGTTAAGGAAGATTTAGCTTAAAAAGGTATTGAATAATGCACTAAGAAAACAGTGAACCAAAACACGAACACCTTGTGATACTGGTCTTTGGAAGCTCCCACATAGCCCATAGGCCCCATCCTCGCGCAGGGCCTACGCCCCACTGCCTCATGGATCAGGTATCCAAGTCCAAGCCTCCCTTTGTGATTACAGAGGAAGAAAACGTAATTTCTGTCAGTGTATTTCTGTGTTTAACAAATTTGCTTCTGTGTGGGTTGATATCCTCTACGAGGTGCTAAAAGGAGCTCCCAGAATTAGGGAGAATGCGTCGATAATCTTTTGTCATTTTTTTGTCTAACAGAAGGCATTGTGAATAAACCCGCATCTAATGAACGTGCTCATTTCTATTGATCCAAAAGCATGCAAAACACATTATTATCTTTATAAAGCTTTCGTAAATACTGAATGTTTCTAGGATTTCGCCAAATTCCTAGGCTGGCTACAACGTAAGTAATGGAAATTTCTCTCCCCTACCCCGTTTGTTTTTCATAGAGTTTTAACCTTCCCTGGTTCACCAGATACGTGCACACCGTCCACCGTCCGGAAAACTTGTACAGTCAAATATAGGAAAGAAACTTTGCAATCAGTGTGAATTTTACAACCGGACAAAAAACCCTAGTTATTGTTACCAATTCTCCTTCCTGTCATCTACCCCCACCCCTGACTGCATTATTTTTCCGTTATAATAGTGCTGTGTTTTGTGTTTGCTTCGTTTCCCGTACATCTCTCGTTATGACTGATTCCAGAGGGTATGATAAAGTTTTATTTGGTTTAAACGAGATCAAGCGTTTGCGATTTGTAATGGACAGCAATTTCGAATAAAGTTCACATATTCAGTCTTGTTTTTGGAGATTGATACATTTATCTATTCAGATACGCAAAGTCAGACACTTCTGAACCCCACAAGGAATTATTTTCAAGTTTATCAAACAGCGTTTTCCACTAATTTTACCGATTTATTTCAAAAGGACCCCAGGTGTTATCTCTTGGGGGCCATAAGTAATCGATTATCAGAAATGCTTTCTCAACAACAGCCGAAGATTTGATCGAGTTAATTAGCATTCTCCCTCAAGGATGAACAGGTGCTGCCGTTTTCCTTATTGAAATTCGCGATAATTGCCCGTTGCGGTCTAGTTGACTAAGTTTGGAACTAAACATTTTTGCTTACTTAACAAAAAGACCAACCAAGTTTAAATTTTACAGATCACTTGTGCGGTATTAAACTGCAGATTAAACTGCATCCAATGGGAGAAACTGAGACACTCTAATGCTGGTTTTCATCATACGCAACTCAGGTCTTCGCATGAGTTCCCATCTTCAGTGCATTGTGTTGTAACTGATCCTTCGATTTACACCCTTCTTTGTATTAAGTGCGTGGTGCCAATATTCTTCGCTAAGGTGAATCCACGGTAAATTCATGTGCAAATTCTCGGCTTCCATTATTTGCTCAGAATCACCCGTTGTACTGAGTTTACCGGCTTTGAAATTATCATTAATCGTTGCTTTCAAATTCAACCACTCACAAATAAAGTTGGGTAGTTTTTATTTTATATATAACGGCTTCTCCCGTTTGTATCATGTATCCATTTTAAGAATTTTGCAGATTCTTTATGTTAGTACACATGCTTGTCGAGAATATCAATAGGTGAAAATATTCTCTCGGTTTTTCAAAACAAGCAAAGTAACTGTTATCAATCTATTTCGCAGCATATAAACGGAATAAAGACTAAACCGAATAACCCGTTACTGAGTACATTAGGGGCGTGCGAGTGATGTCAAAATCGATGAACAATGCTTACTACTCCCGTTTCCAAGTGGCTCATAGCTCGTCGATCACGGGCACGAGAGGCACGCTGCATGGTGTCCAGATCGTCCAGAAAGTTGTTGGCCAAACGTTGAGCATGTCGTGACGCGCTGTCCATGTTTGCTCCGTAAACGTCTATTGTCACGTATCCAATCATGCCGTGTGAGTGTGCAAATGTTCGAAAATATCCCCGGATGAATTTGGGAAATTTGTGAACAGAAGGAGAAATAGGCAAAGATGAATGAATTGGAGCTGTTCGAAATGCAGACCGTTAAATAGAGGTATCAAGCAAAAGATCACTCTCGGCCTGTACAATTTAGAGTGCGTACGTGTGTGTGTTTAGCTCACTCGAAAGGAATGCGATGTAGCAACAACGTTGCTCCGAAAAAGGCAACTATTTATCTGGAAATATGTTGCTTTGCTCGACTATTTCGAGGTCATCTATGCATCCTGAGGACTAATATTACCTCCGGGCGAACCAATCTGTTGACATGCGTGGTTGATGGATGAACTCGGAGCATGTGGATTGGTCTGTTCATTGTGTTCGGAGAAAAGTGCTGCTCCGTTTCGACAAATTTGTGCGCTCGTGGACGCACGCATGCACCCGTGCTTGTGCGCGCGCACATCCGCACATCCGCTTGCACAGACATACCTGCCCGATGTGTTCCGTTCTCGGGTTGCCTCTTGATGCCCATCTGCCTACCTGCCTACAAACTGCCCGGCCGGTCAGTTCTTTCCAAGTAATCAATTTAGGATGCCATCGGTCCAGAATAGAGACGGATTGCAACACGTCAATAATTTAATCAAGAAGACCGATTTAGGGATGGTAATGTCCGTTCGTCCCTCTGTCCGTACTGGTGTGACATTTTTTCACCACTGCGTACCTTATGAAGTGCATATACCTATTAATACGTTTCAAATCATGTCAATCAAACCTAGGGATGTCTTTCCAGGGTACTAATTGTGAGTATATCACACGGTACACAAGGCGAATGGATATTAAAAAATCCAAAATACCCAGAAAAGTTATCATTTCCATAATTCTAATCAGTCAAAATTGGCGAGCAATTCTTAACCGGTTTGTATTTGTAGCTTAAACCACACAACGGAACTAGGCGACACAAAGAGCGCAGATGAGTGATAAATGTCGGCGATCAACGTCCGGTGATTAGTTTATCAAAAATGGATTGATCTAAATCTCTGTTGGAATAAATCATCAAAAATTGTGTGATTTACCCCCACAAACAATCATTTTTTCAGTGGACTCAGTTTATTGCATGTGTTCTCCATCCTATGTTGAACAACAATCAGTCCGGTGGCACAATATCTCCCCGAATTCTCGTTCGGTTGTGCAATGCTCAATCCAAACAGGAAGAAAACTGTAAGTGGTCCTGTTCCGGATTACATAGGAATTTCAAAAGACAGACGAAGTAAAATGGAAGTTTATAAGTATAAGTTTGTGGATTGTTCTAAAGTATTTTCACTATCTGTGTGACCCACCGGTTTTTCGTAACCGATTCAGTGATTTTTATCCCTTAAGGGCATAACCACGTTTGTCGAAAAAACAAATAATTAGTGCTGGTACCAGAATTTTTTCTGCACATGTTTTAGCTTGACCGAAACGATGGAAAAATCAATGGTTTCATTGAATTTCCTTTCGGTAGATTGCGAAACAGGTCACCAATTTCTATTCAATTAAAATTCCGGATCCTTAGAAATAATAAATAAAGTAATGATCTGATATTCAGACGCAAAGTTGTATGTTATAAAAATGAAATTTGTAAGTTGTAAGTAATATGAATTATAACCAACTGATAAACAGAGTCGAATGAGAATTGGAGTTAGATCTATCAGGTACCAAAGTGAGATATCGCTTTTAATAGGAACAAAGTCTCAGGTTTGGAAAGCTTGTGCTGCTGCAGCTGTTGCTGTCGCCATTACCAGAAGGATACCGGGAAGTTGGATGATAACAAAGAAAGCAAGCCATATGAATTGAAACAGCTGTTGTTCTTCATCGTGGACCGTTGTGTTTGATTAGAAATCAAGTTTTGTCCCTCATATTTGATATCATTTTCGTATATTTGATTATGATATTTCTTTTAATAGAGTTTAATAGGGTATATCGTTCGATAGGATAATAAATGCAAATAAATGAACTATTGAATACTGCTGAGGATGATCATATGATTTCCAATCCCATCTCTTCACCAGCGGTACCCATAAAAGGTATATTAAATTATTCTCGATTGGGTAAGAAGAAGGAAAAAATACAAGCCAACAGTAATTCCGTATCTCTGATGATAGGTATTATTTTGAATTCAACGTATTGTCTATTAGAGTGCACGGATCAAAATTTGATGCTTCTCTTCCTCTGATACAGTGTTTGCTTTCACTCGTAAATTACCTGCGAAGAAATTGTAATTAGCTCATGTTTGCTCATTGGAACAAAGAAAACACCCATTTGATTTCATTGGGTTTAGATTAATGCAGTTCTTACTGTACTAGGGGAAGAGTGCCACATGAATCGTTATATCAACAAAAACCATGAACAAACCATAACAAACACGCGAAGTTTCAGCTGCAGTACTACTTGTGCACAATACATTAATTTCTAATCTGTTCCTAATAAAGTATATAATGAGTAGATATATATAATAAGTCATCTTGTGAAAGCTTACAATCGAGTCAGAACCCCGGAGGTTAGTGCTGAGATTAGATAGGTGCGACGTCCGCAACAAACTCGTGTAAATGGAGAGTGAAAAATGGTCTAATAAGCAGATCGAGTGTGCAGTATGCTTGTGTTCTGCCTTTGATATCCCAGGTTCGAGCCCCAGATGGGTCAATGGTTTCGCACTGCTAATCAGATCCAACCAGGTTGAGGCAATTGTTCGGTGCTTAATAGCTTTTCAGTTCACGCTTCATTTGACCTATACAAAACGAATTCCTCTTGAGGAAGTTTTTATCAGTAAACGCTCTGGAATCATTGTGAAAACGTTTTTTTTTATTTTCTAGAAACTATTGTTGGCATATGCGTTCGAAATTCATTGGGCTTCGAACTCAGTAAGTTTGCAAGTCAGCCAGTAATCTGCATGGAAGTCCTGATTTGGTGGGGAGCTTTCGATTGGAGTTAACAGGTCGTCATCTGTGTCTCCCTTCGTTGCTGTCGTGCCAAATGAACTGATTGACTATCACTAAATAAAGCACATGAACAAACACGAATTGGAAATTTGGTTCAGCCAAAGTATGAGCTGGTTGGCACAGTTCCATGCGATGGGTCCGGAGTTCAAATCCCGGACGGGACGGTGGATATGCACTACTGATGTGCTCTAATAAGGGTGAAACTCGGGTCTAGTGCGTCCGATTGTATGGTTGAACCGATGAACTGAGGATTGTGCGTGAAGGTAAAGTCCGAAGGATAGTCAGTTACATCAAGCAATAGTTTACTTTTATTTGGAAAATTTTCCAAGTAATACAAGAGACCCCAGGAAAATAACTTCGGTTTCCAGTTTGGGTACATTAATTTAGTGAAAACTAATTATGCAATAAACAAACGATTAGGATTGAAGCCGTCATTGTTTGGTGACTGTTCTAGGTATTTATGGCCCCGTTGTGTGGTTATAACTGCTCCACTAACGATTTCTTGAACCGACAACAAGTTCCCAAACTCATACTGCACTGCTAAAAGTAGTCAAACTAGTTCTGCGAAATTTCTTCATTCGGCTGAAACGTAGCCGCCAGAATGCTGCTTTTACTATACTGAAAGATAGATTTTATCAACGATTATTGTTAAATGTTTTCAATGTTTCCTGAAAGCTTTCATATTTCTCATAGTTAGTGATGATAGTGAGTTTTCAATCAAAACCGGAACAAATGATCACCGGGAATAAAATACACCGAGAAATTAAATTGTTTACTCGGTGCTGAGATGGATTCAGTTCTATTTCCGGGGAAATGTCGAATGTGGATGCAGAGTTAACAAATTTGTTGATTCCTGAATCTTTTACTCTTATTTTTTCAGTAGTGTAACTCGCATTGCAGAATTTGCAACCACATGTTCTTCGGCTTTGGGATGATTCATATGGATACGTTCATACAAGATAGGGGGACTCATTTTTCTACTTAAGCTCGCGATATTATATCGCCTCATTAAATTGATCCATAATTATTTTAGCAGCGCACATTAACAAGGAACATGCATCGATCAATTTAAAACTGACTTGCCATTATTTATGATACATTTGACTAAATATTGATCTTCCCTGCACCACATACGCCAATGACTGGAATCACAAACAAACCAATTCTTACTCTACTGCTGTTTGGATACGAAATCGTTCTGCGTTTTATTTCTCTCCTCTTCTCTGATTCTATCATCTTTGATTCCAGTGATTTGGCTCTCCATTACTCGACTTTATTGTCTCCATCAAATTTTAATGACCATGAGTTGGGTACATTTTTACCTCTTCCTTCATCCACTCATGAGCTTCAAGTAATGTAGATTGACCAATAATCCCTCGCCTAAGGGAATAAGACATAAAATAAGCTGCCATATATATGCTAAGTAACACGTATCACGTCTCTATTTAGTGGAATAGAAAATCCAGCAGTAGATGCCCAAATGTTGCATGGTAACCAATCAAGGGAAATAAAATTCAAACAATCCCTTGCCCACACAAGTTGGACTGTTTCTGCGTTCTACTTCTACTGGTTTGAGGGAATGCTCGCCCACGCTTCATTCGGACACTTGCAACAGAAACTGTCAACCGATCGAATCTGGGATATCCTCTCCCCCTTCTCACCTCCAAACTGGCCTTCCGGGGTATCTAGAACCACGTGCTACAAATCACACTTGTAGCCGGTATGTCATTTATCGATTAAACTGGATTTCTGGGGTAGACAAGATCGTTTGCCTACACAGATCTACCTCAGGGGACAGCTGCCCATATACACACACAAACACGAGCGAAACACCACATAAACACCGATTTGACTGCATCGGTACACGCACAGAGACATTCGAAGACACCCGATGGGTGTATTTTTGGGCAATATCTCGTTCGTCTGACACTTTCGGGTCAGTCTTCTCTTCATCCCTTGTACGTTGCGTATTTACTATTCGCATTTTCTGGATCGAAACGCGGATCCAAGACAAAAAAC